TTTTGCATTCCCTTGTACAAGAATAAGCATCAATAGGATTTCTGAAATTGGTAGAATGTTCAGATAAAGGCAAGTGTTCAAAAATGATGTGTATTGTATATCAATATGAATGTTTAGCTGCATATCCTAGAGTACTCATAGAGAGCCAAGACAGGCACTTTAACTCTTTCGCTACCAGGTCCTGGGTTCCACTTTGAAACTCTGGTGGACAGACCATTTTTGCAATTTTTCCATTGCTTTTTCTATTAATCTCCTACAGCTATAGTGGATATAAAAAGTCTACACACCCCTGTTAAAATGTCAGGTTTCTGTGATGTAAACAAATGAGACAAATATAAATAATTTCAGAACTTTTTCCACCTTTAATGGGACCTATAAACTGTACAAGTTTACCAACAATCTGTAATCTTTTAGGTGAAGGGAAGTAAAAGCAAAAAACTAAAATAAAATGGTTGCATAAGTGTACACACCCTTAAACTAATATTTTGTTGAAGCACCTTTTGATTTTATTCCTGCACTTAGTCTTTTTGGGTATGAGTCTATCAGCATGGCACATCTTGATGGCAATATTTGCCCACTCTTCCTTGCAAAAATACTCAAAATCTGTCAGATTGCAAGGGCATCTCCTGTGCACAGCCCTCTTCAGATCACCCCACAGATTTTCCATCAGATTCAGGTCTGGACTCTGGCTGGGCCATTCCAAAACTTTAATCTTCTTCTGGTGAAGCCATTCCTTTGTTGATTTGGATGTATCCTTTGGGTAATCGTCATGCTGAAAGATGAAGTTCCTCTTCATGTTCAGCTTTCTAGCAGAAGCCTGAAGGTTTTGTGCCAATATTGACTGGTATTCGGAACTGTTCATAGTTCCCTCTAGTTTTTGGTAATGTCACTGTTGCGCCATATTTTCTCCACTTGATGATGACTGTCTTTACTGTGGTCCATGGTATATCTAATGCCTTGCAAATTATTTTGTACTCTTCTCCCGACTGATAACTTTTAACAATGAGATCTCTCTGATGCTTTGGAAGCTCTCTGCGAACCATGGCTTTTGCTGTAGGAGCGCGACTAAGAAAATGTCAGGAAAGACCTACTAGAACAGCTGAACTTTCTTTGGGGTTATTCAGAGGCACTTTAAATCATGACAGGTGTGTACTGACTCCTATTTAACGTGATTGTGAATGTGATTGCTTAGTTCAGAACACAGCTACATCCCCAGTTATAAGAGGGTGTGCACACTTCTGCAACCACATTATTTTAGTTTTTTATGTTTACTTCCCCCCCTAAAATATTTCTTTTTCTTTTTCAATTGAGTTGTACAGTTTATAGGTCATGTTAAAGGTGGAAAAAGTTCTGAAATTATTTATCTTTGTCTCATTTTTTTACATCACAGAAAACTGACATTTTAACAGAGGTGTGTAGACTTTTTATATCCAGACACTCTATATTAGAGTTTGTAAAAGACCCACCAAACCATACATTTTATGAAAGCACATGACCTTTAGGATAAAAAGAAGGTTCTACTGATTTATAAGGCCCTGCAATATTTGCAGAAATGTTAATCAAAATCAATATTTTTCCTAAAAATACACTAAAAGCTTTATTAGCAGATAAAAACACTGCACATTTTACAACATTCCTGCTAAATTCCTATTAAATAAAAAAAATAACCTGTATTCAGTTAATAAATAAAAAAAATTGTAATTTTTAAATCGTGCCTTTTTGAAAAATGGTGAAAATTGAACGTACACAAAATGTAAATACCCAAAGTTTTCTAAAAATCTGGAGGTTTTCATTTTTCACTTACAGCTTTCAGAGTTTCTAAAAGACTCTCCAAACTATATATTTTCTGAAGGCACAAGAACAATGGAATAAAAGAAAGGTGCTAATGATTTACAGGGCCCTGCAATCTTTGTGCAAATGTTTATCAAATCAATATTAACAGATATAAACAGAGCACATTTTACAAAATTCCTGATGAATTTCTACTAAATATAAAAACTTAATCTGTATTTAGTTAATAAATAACAAATATTTGTAAATTTAAATTGCAACTTTTTGTAAAATTGTGGAAATTGCACATATGCAAAAATGTCTCTAAAAATCTGGAGGTTTTCTTTTTCATTTGCACCTTTTAGAGTTTGTAAAAGACTCCTCTAAACCATACATTTTCTGAAAACACATTACCAGTAGAATACAAAGATGCTCCAGATCTTTTTAGGTCCTGCAAAGGTTCAAATGTTTATCAAATCACTATTTTCATTAACACCCCCCACACACTAAAATCCTTATTTGCGCACATAAACCCAACATAACGTACAAAATTCCTGCTTAATTCCTACTAAGGCCTTGTTCAATGGGGTGTGCTAAATTGTATGCCCATGGATGGTTGTTTCTACCTGCATGGGAATGTACAGGTCTTCTGTGCATCCCTTTGCAGGCAGTCCTATTCATGTCAATTGGGACACAGGAAGCAGCAAAGTGACATAATCTCTGAAATCTTTAAGCATTTGAGCCACCTTTAGGAATAGTTAAAAAAGGCCCATATTTTGGTACCTTCTGTAGAATTTTCATGCTTATGTATAAAATGCCTACAGATGGTCTGCTAAACATTCCTTTGTTCTATAATTCTACATTGTTCTCCGAACATACAGTACTTTAGTTTTTTTGTTGTTCAACCAGCAGGTTGAATGAAAAAAAATGTTCCGATTTCCCCAACCACACATTTAATGTGGATGTGGTATCCTTCCTAATGAGTTATTGCATTCTCACAGTGGGGAGACATCTCCACCATCAAAATACCCCGATCAGTGCTGCTGGCTATACACAACAGGGTGGTTGTACAGAAGTTGATTGGTAGATCGACTTCTGTATGGCCAGCTTCAGGAAAAAAACATTTTAAAATTTCTGTCAATTACAGCTTTTTTGTAAAAAACAAAACACACAGACCCCTCCAGTTGTTTGCAAAGTCATTTTTTTTTTTTGGGGGGGGGAGCATTTGGAGGGGTCTGCTGTTTTGCCAACAATTAAACTGTATCTTTCTTTGTAAGTGGAATTTTTGCTGTTGAAAAAAATGAGTCCCCCCCCCCAGAATACATGCCAGACCTTTTTGTATTTCAATGGTTTTTATTAATTTTAAACAGTCTAAAACAGAGGCAACAAAACATGCCCACGCAGGGGCTATCAATTGCACCGATAAAAAAAGCAAAATAGAGAAAAAAGTGCTCTAACGCCAGCAAGGCAAAAGGTACGCCCACGCAGGGGCTATCAATGGCACATAAGTTACAATAACATTAATGTAACTCTGATTATAACAAATAAAGGCAGCTGTCCACTGTCACACCAAAAACAAACAGAGATAGAGAGAAAAGAAATGAAAAAAAAAAAAAAAAAAACAAAGAGCAGGGGTCCAAGAGCACCAATACCGAACGCCATTACATCTCCAGACTAGCCGGGGGGAGCGTGGGAAAGGCATATTGCAACCACGGCTCCCATATTTTCAAAAATTTACGTTGGGAGTCGTTGCATACACTCGACATCTGTTCGTTGAGCATCATAGTGGTCATACGATCCCCTGAAGAAGGACAAATGGATTCTTCCAGGCCTGAGCAATTGTTCTAGTGGCCGATAAAAACAGATAGGAAGCCAACTTCTGCTGATGAGCCAAGAGGCCCAGTATGGGGCAATGAAGCAAGGCATACCGGGCATCCCGGCGTATGGAGAGACAGAACAAAGTGAAAAGGAGGCCAAACACACGAGACCAAAAATGAAATAGTCTCAGGCATGACCACCAGATATGCAATACATCGCCACGATGGCCACAACCCCGAAAACATCGATCACTACAGGCAGGGTTAGCCTGGGCCAAACGAGCCGGAACCCAATACCAACAAAACAATACCTTATTGGCTGCCTCCAGCGTGGTTGTATTGAATGAGCATTTAGCTATGAGTGACCAGGCCTTATTTCAGTCCTCTGGATCCACAGCCACTCCCAGGTCGCGCTCCCACTGAACAACATATGAAAGAGAAGTATGCGACGAGCGTCTGTTCAGAGCTGCTGTTAGGGATCCGGGTGTGACCAGAAATGTGTGGACTGACACAGGAAAGTAGCAGGCTTCAGGAACACAGGTATAGTCAGGGCCGTAAGGTACTGTCAGGCACCGCCCGGCGGGATCTCTAGTGACCCACAGAACAAGATTCCCCAGGGTGCGGAGTCTAAGCCCCAGTCTGCCTTTTCACCAGAGCCCCTGATGGTGGGGATGGACTTGGCGCAAGACTGAGACAAGGTCGTGGCCCCTGAGTGCACCCAACTGTGGTAGAGGGGTCTGCCGAGGGTATGTACCGGGGGAAAGCCTGATGTGAAGAGGCTGGCAGGTTTGGACAGTAGTGACTTGATCCGTGCGGGATGGATGGATTGTCTGGGTAGCGTCAGGCGTAGTCAGGCAGGCCAGGCCAGCAACGTGCGGGCAGTGAGGTACCGGAGGAGCAGGCAGAGAATAGTCAGGGTCACAAGCCGGGTTCAGTAACTCACGGGCAGCGCGGTACAGAGGATCAGGCAGAAGGATGGTCAGGCAAGCCAGGGGTTCAACAGGAGATGGTCAGCAGAGGTCAGGATCAAAGCAGGGTCAGCAACTAGGCAGATAGACAGGAACACAGGATACCAGGTACAGGGGCTCATGGGAAACATACACCAAGGACCTGATCACAGGCCTGGTCCTGCTTAAAAACACCTCGTGCAATCAGCTTCAGCTGATGGCTGACTGCAGGAGTGAGCTTCTAGTTGCTGAGAGCACCCGCTGGCCAGCCCTGGTACTGCAGCCCACAGGGCAGGTGAGTCCCACCACCAGTGGTGAATCCATTCCTGACAGTATCCCCCCCTCAAGTGAGCAAAATGTTCCACCGCCTGGGTCAGGTAACTGGCTGAATATCCTACTGCCGGAGTCAACCGGCTGGCTGGGTTTCCTGCTGGTAGACTTCTCTTTGTGTAGGAGAACCCTGGAAGGCAGGTTACTGGACACAGGATCTCCAGGAGCAGGCTGGGAACCAGTTATTGGCCAGTTTAGCTGGACATCAGAGGCTGGCACGTCAGGCTGGGCAGCGGACAGAGGCACGTCAGGCTGGGCAGGGGACAGAGGCACGACAGCCGGCACCGAGTCATCTGGCACAACAGCGGGCAACGAGTCATCTGGCACGACAGCGGGCACCGAGTCAGCTGGCAAGTCAGCGGGCACCGAGTCGTCTGGCACGTCAGACGACTCGGTGCCCGCTGTCGTGCCAGACGACTCGGTCGTCTGGCACGACAGCGGGCACCGAGTCACCAAGCTCGACAATGGGCATCGAGTCATGTGGCAAGTCAGCGGGCACCGAGTCATCTGGCACGACAGCGAACACCGAGCCATCTAGCAGAACCGTGGGCACCGGGTTACCAAGCTCGACAGCGGGCACCGAGTCATCTGGCACGACAGTGGGCAACGAGTCATCTGGCAGAACAGCGGGCACCGAGTCATCTGGCACGACAGCGGGCACCGAGTCACCAAGCTCAACAGCGAGCAACGAGTCATCTGGCAGAACAGCGGGCACCGAGTCATCTGGCAGAACAGCGGGCAACGAGTCACCAAGCTCAACAGCGGGCACTGAGTCATCTGGCAGAACAGCGGGCACGAGTCATCTGGCATGGCATGACAGCGGGCACCGAGTCATCTGGCACGACAGCGGGCACGAGTCATCTGGCACAACAGCAGGCAACGAGTCATCTGGCATGACAGCGGGCAACGAGTCATCTGGCACGACAGCAGGCAACGAGTCAACTGGCACGACAGCGGGCACCGAGTCATCTGGCATGACAGTGGGCACCGAGTCAACTGGCACGACAGCAGGCAACGAGTCATCTGGCACCGAGTCATCTGGCAGAACAGCGGGCACCGAGTCATCTGGCAGAACAGCGGGCACCGAGTCATCTGGCATGACAGTGGGCAACGAGTCATCTGGCACAACAGCAGGCAACGAGTCATCTGGCACGACAGCGGGCACCGAGTCATCTGGCACAACAGCGGGCACCGAGTCATCTGGCACGACAGCAGGCAACGAGTCATCTGGTACGACAGCGGGCAACGAGTCATCTGGCACGACAGTGGGCAACGAGTCATCTGGCATGACAGCGGGCAACGAGTCATCTGGCTGGATCAGGTCATCAGGCGGGTAGAATCATCCGGCTGGGTAGCGTACACTGGGTCATCAGGCATCCGGGCATCAGGCTGAACAGAAGGCGGGTTCTCAGACCGCAGGCTGACTGGTTTGGATACTGGCAGGATGGTACTGGTTGGAAAGAATTTTCGCTTCTTCCTGGTTTTAGTTACTGGAGCACTGTAAGTAAACGCAGGTCTGTAAACAGATGGAGCAGCTGCAGACAGAGAAGAGCTGGAGGATGGAACAGAGGAAGGAGCAGTTGCTACAGGATTAAACGCAGGATAGGTGCAGCGAGTGGGAACAGGGTTCTGACATGTGGTTGATAGCAGGGTATACTGGGCTGGAACTGGAGGTGCTGTCGGGAATGCAGGAATAGAGCTTTGCAGAAATAGATTAGAAGCAGGACTGGGTTGTTGCAAGCTGACTGAGGCTGGGTGTAACAAATCTGACCATATCTGTAATACCGGTTGAACAAAACTCAGCTTACACATAGTCTGTCTGACCAAAGACTGCACTGCGTTTATGCAATCCACAAGCACATGTGATGGACAAGCTGCATCATGCTTATGGAAGCAATCTGGATCATCCTCCAACAGCCATAACAGTGATTCCACTTGATCTGCACTAAATGGGGGAAAAAAGTAACAGCTGATCCCTGGCATACTTCTTCAGAATCTGATAGCCGTATACTCTGTCTTCCAAGACTAGCAGAGACAAGTACTCAACCTCCTTAGGATGCATCCTCCACAAACAACAAGCCAAGATGGCTTCCCTGTGTGGCCACTTCTGGTCAGGATTGGCCTTGGTGTACTGTTAACGACCATCTGGTGGTACCTCTAACAGTCCTCAGGACAGGATTCCCCAGGGCGCGGAGTTTAAGTCCCAGTCTGCTTATTCACCAGGACCCCTGATGGTGGGGATGGACTTGGAGCAGACAGGAACCAGGTCGCGGCCCCTGAGTACACATGCTAGTGGTAGAGGGATCCGCCAGAGGTATATGCAGGTAGGAAACCTGATATGAAGAGGCAGAAGGTGTGAGCAGGGATGGCTGGATCCGTGCGGGATGGATGGATCGTCTGGGTAGCGTCAGGCGTAGTCAGGCAGGCCAGGTCAGCAACGTGCGGGCAGTGAGGTACCGGAGGAGCAGGCAGAGAATAGTCAGGGTCACAAGCCGGGTTCAGTAACTCACGGGCAGCGCGGTACAGAGGATCAGGCAGAAGGATGGTCAGGCAAGCCAGGGGTTCAACAGGAGACGGTCAGCAGAGGTCAGGATCAAAGCAGGGTCAGCAACTAGGCAGATAGACAGGAACACAGGATACCAGGTACAGGGGCTCATGGGAAACATACACCAAGGCCCTGATCACAGGCCTGGTCCTGCTTAAATACACCTCGTGCAATCAGCTTCAGCTGATGGCTGACTGCAGGAGTGAGCTTCTGGTTGCTGAGAGCACCCGCTGGCCAGCCCTGGTACTGCAGCCCACAGGGCAGGTGAGTCCCACCACCAGTGGTGAATCCATTCCTGACAGCTGCATAAAGAAGGGAGATAAGCCCTGGGGCGCCCGGACGCTGCTGGCAAAGCTGTTCAAAGGCAGATTTCTGGTACGGGAAAGCCGAAGTGCCCCGCAGCGAGAGCAGCCAGTGCCGCAATTGAAGATATCGAAAAAATTCAGCCGGGGGAACATCCTGGGACTCCCAAAAAGAATTCCAGGTAGGGAAATACCGAAAAATCAAAAGTGTCGCATCTGCAAAAAACCATTAGTCACCCACCAAGAAAACGCCCTTGGGTGATCTAAACCCGGTAGGAAAAGAGGGTTGTTAATAATTGGGAGCAAAGGCAGAAAGGGTGACATCAGGACACTGGAGTAACGTACCGAGTCCCAGACTTGTAAGCCATGGAGCAACATCGGACTCAGTGCCGTAGGGCGCAGGGCAGGGGGAAGCCATAGAAGCGTTGACGGTGCGATAGGGGCACAATTAGGTAGTTCCAGCAGGACCCAGAGAGGAACATCAGAGGAAGCGTGCAACATAGACAACTATCTGGCTCGCCTGATAATACTTAGTTACATTAGGCACCCCAAGACCACACTGGAGTCTATGAGCAAAGAGCGTATTTCTAGAGACTCTGGGGTGCTTATTGGCCCAAATAAAGCGCATAATCCTTGCCTGAATCAACTGAAGAAAATGAGGGGGAATCCGCACTGGAAGGGTGCGAAAATAATACAAACAATTTCGGCAGGATGGTCATTTTCACTGAATGAACCCGTCCTATCCAAGACAGGTGCGGAAATTGCCAGGAATGCATAATAGAAGATAGAGAGCTAAGTAATGGATAATAATTTGCAGCAAACAGGGAGTCATAGGTGGGGGTCAAGCGAATGCCTAAGTATTCAAGAGAAGAGGGAGCCCATTTGTAAGGGAAGTGGGATTGTAGGCGCAAAACCAAATCTGAAGCCAAAGTAATATTGAGAGCGACAGTCTTATCCAAGTTAATACGGAGACCCAAAATCAAGGAGAAGTGCACAAGAACCCGTTGCAAATTAGGAGGATTAGTAAGAGTCAAGAGGGCATCGTCCGCAAAAAGGTTCAGCTTAAACTCCTGTCCCGCGTATGAAACCCCCGATATATTGCAATCGGTCCGGAGCGTTAAAGCCAGCGGCTCAAGCGCCAGGACAAAGAGCGCCGGGGACAGGGGGCAGCCCTGTCTCGTCCCTCGCCCAATAGGAAAGGGATCCGAGAAATACCCAGCGTATTTAATGGAGGCCGAAGGAGAAGAATACAAGGCTTGAATCCAAGAAAGAATAGAATCCCCAAAACCCCAACGAGACAGCACGAACCGCCGATATTTCCAGGATAGAGAATCAAAGGCTTTATGTATGTCTAAGGACAGTAAGAATCCCGGGATTTTCCGCTGTTGCAGAAAATGTCTCCCAGGGACGAACCCTACTTGGTCCCTGTGGACCAGGCTACGCAAATATTTATTGATGCGAAAACTAAGGATCTTGCCCAATATCTTCAGGTCTTCATTAAGAAGAGAAATGGGCTTGAAGGCTTGCGGTTCCTGTACATCATCGGTCGTCTTAGGAATCATAGAGATATGCGCTCTAAGCGCGTCTGAAGAGGGAAAGGAGCCCTGTCATAACTCATTGAAATAGTCAGCCAAAAAGGGAGCCAACAGGGCCAAGAATTTCTTATAATAGAGACCGGAGAAGCCGTCGGGACCTGGGGCCGTGGTTGACCGTAAAGATTTGATAGCTTGGAGCACTTCCAGTATGGTAATACGGGTGTTGAGGGCCACCTGTGCTGCTTCAAATAATCCAAGAAAATGGAGATCTTGAAAGAATGCCTCTGCTTGAGCCACAGGGAAGGAATCTGGTTTAGCGTAAAGGCGCGAAAGGAAGTCCGAGAAACGGGAAACAATCTGCCGGGGATTACACCGTGTTCCAAATTATTATGCAAATTCTATTTAAGTGTCACAAAGATTAAATATTTTGTTTTTCAGTTTAACTCATGGATGGCATTGTGTCTCAGTGCTCTTTTGATCACTGAAAACAATCTCGGACACTTGTGATAATTAGATTGGCCAGTGAGCCCAATTTAAGGAAAAACTACTAAAGGATGGTGTTCCACATTATTAAGCAGAGCACCATTTTCAAGCAATAAGGGGAAGAAAAAGGATCTCTCTGCTGCTGAAAAGAGTGAAATAGTTCAATTCCTTGGACGAGGTATGAAAACATTAGATATTTTACGAAAACTTAAGCGTGATCATCGCACTATTAAGAGATTTGTGGCTGATTCAGAGCACAGATGGGTTCATGCAGATAAAGGCACATTGAGGAAGATTTCTGCCAGATCCATGCATCGGATCAAGAGAGCAGCTGCTAACATACCATTACATAGCAGCAAACAGATATTTGAAGCTACTGGTGCCTCTGGAGTCCCACGGACATCAAGGTGTAGAGTCCTCCAGAGTCTTGCAACTGTGCATAAACCTTCTATTCGGCCACCTAACCAATGCTCACAAGCAGAAACAGCTGCATTGGGCAGAAAAATACATGAAGACTAATTTTCAAACAGTCCCATTCACTGATGAGTGCTGTGCAACCCTGGATGGTCCAGATGGATAGAGTAGTGGATGGTTAGTGGACGGCCACCCTGTTCCAACAAGGCTGCGACGTCAGCAAGGCGGTGGTGGAGTCATGTTTTGGGCTGGAATCATGGGAACAGAGCTGGTCAGCCCCTTTAGGGGCCCCGAAGGTGTAAAGATGACCTCTGCAAAGTATGTGGAGTTTATGACTGACCACTTTCTTCCCTGGTACAGAAGGAAGAACTATGCTTTCCATAATAAAATCATCTTCATGCATGACAATGCACCATCTCATGCTGCAAAGAATACCTCTGCATCAATGGCTGCTATGGGGATAAAAGGAGAGAAAGTCATGGTGTGGCCTCCATCCTCCCCTGACCTCAATCCTATTGAGAACCTTTGGAGCATCCTCAAGCAAAAGATCTATGAGGGTGGGAGGCAGTTTACATTCAAACAGCAGCTCTGGGAGGCTATTCTGACATGTTGCAAACAAATTCAAGCAGAAACTGTCGAAAAACTCACAAGTTCAATGGATGCAAGACTTGTGAAGCTGCTATCAAATAAGGGGACCTATGTTAAAAATGTAACGTGACCTGTTAAAATGTTTAAAAAGTTAAAATGTTGTTAAAAGTTTGAAATATGCTGCAATATGCTTAAATATGCTGCAAACCCAACAAATGACAATTTTCAGTTCTTTACAGCCTATAAAGTGTTTTGAAACTTACTGTGCGTAATAATTTGGAACAGTGCATTGGAAGTTTTTCATGTTTAAAAAAAAAAATACTGTTATCATTAGGAGGTTTGTTCAATAGCATGTGAATTGTACTCTTAATAGTTGATAACATGAGAATTATGCTGACTGTTATTTACATCAATTATTTAGGTAAATGAGAAAAATATAATTTGCGTAATAATTTGGAACACGGTGTAGAAGTACAGCCACCTGTGGGAAAGTCGCAGTCGGATCGGTTTATGGGTTTATGGGGTTTCCCCACAGAATTGAGTTTCCTGGCCAGCATTGGACCTGGCTTATTAGCACAGGAG